ATACAGCAGAACATCTTTGACTTGAGTTAATTCTCAGGTGACCAAATGTCAGTCAGGCAGAGATGCATGCTGACAAAACCAATTCTAGTTTTCAGTGGTTTACTCCGTTTGCTTAGATATGCATGTCTAAAGTTAACCACTCATTGGACTCTCTTCTACATCCTTGGACATCAAGTTGTGATGGAGGAGCGAGGCAAATGGATCAATTATAATAAATGACTAGTTATAGGATCTGACCTATCAACCAAGAAATATCAGGAAGTTATCTTTATAGTCATGAGCATTTGTTTATTTCAAATAAAAGAGTATTTGTTTGTTTATGAAAAATACATAAATGGGCTAGCAACCCTCTCAGATGCCAGAGAAAGCATAACTCAAGGCTAAAGATGAAGTAATTCCTTCATGCAGAGTAGAAGGTTTTAGGTGACAAGGCTGTCCTGCCAGAGCTATAGTTTGGGAGAAGATGAAGGGCTCAGTTACAGGAACACTCCACCTTCTTGAGTCCACGAGTCAGAACATGGGAGATTTGACTGGTGAGCTGTCACAGCCCCAGATTTCCTGAGCCTGTCACCTTTCAGAGGTTGCATAGTCTAGAGAGATGGTGATATTTCATGCTACACAGAGCACAGAGAATTTATGAGACACTTGCGTAGTTAACTGAAGCATGACAGACCTAGTAAAGATCTTAAGATTACACAGCTGGTTTTTTTGGTTTTGTTTTTTAAATGTGGGGCCTGCTGGTGGGTACGTTGGATTAAAAGTGCAGTTCAAGTACTGGCAGGGGAGGAGGGCCCAGATGGTGAAGCACATCTGATATATAAACAAGAAGGCATCTGAAGACATTTGGTCATTATGTGCTGTTTGCTTGATTTATGTCTGTCTCCCACAAGCTATTCCGGCTTTATGTGTATGGACATTTTTGTGTGTGTGCATATTGGCCTCTGCTCTTTGATAATGTGGTCTTTGGAGTCATTGTCAATCTATTTGTATCATTGGCTCCTGGCATTATCTTAAGAGGTGTGGTTAGGTATGTAACTAAACTTCATGGTTTTGTCCCTGCTAAACTGCTTTATCATCAGGGTGCATTCTGGCGAAGTCTTTCCTTCAGTTGATCCAAAATTCTGGTCAAGAATCAGAAGAAGGTAATTGCAAAAGTATGGTAGGTTGTGCATGTCTGTGCATCTTCCTATATTATTCCAGCTCTTTCTTTCACTCTTACTCCATTCATTTTCATTTTGGAGTTAGAGCTTTTGTAAAGTTTTAACCAGGTATTCTGGCTAATAGAAATGGTACTTTTCTCTTCAGAGTAGATCAGCCAGATAATATATTGTAGATGCTTCTTTACAATTAGTAATATATTCTTATTATGACTATTTCCTTGAATAATGTAAATTTGCTAAATAAGGAATGCTTTCTGACTGATGGAAAAATAGAGAGAAGGATAACAATTATAAGGGGACAAGAACTTGAGGCAGAATTAAAAATGTCCAGCCAAAGCAAGGACATCTCTATGTAGAAATATCTAAGAAGCCTATATAAAAATGAATGGAAGGGAGAATACTAAGGGAAATATAATACCATGATATAAATTCATAGTTTGTTCATAGGTAGATCTCATTATATAAATCTATGATTTGTCCTTATTGGGTGTACCACATTGGTTGCCTGATCTCAAAAAAGGATACTTGCAGTATTAGACAGCATTCAAGGATGAACAGTGAGAATGATTAAGGACAACAAAGACCTCTCATATAAAGAAAAACTTAAAAGAATGGGATTACTTACTTTAGGAAGGGGATGAATAAGAGGGGATGAATAAGAGGGAACAAGGTAAAAGTGTGCAAAATAATTAATGTTTTAGACTAGTAGATGGAAACTTCCCTTTCATTATTTTTCTCACTACAAGGCCAAGCACACATACAATGATAATTGACATTGACAACTACAAAATTGATAAAAGGATGTGTTTTTCCACATAGCAGAAAATAAGCCTGTAGTACTCATTGTCACAAGTTATAAAGAGTTTTACAAGACTATAACAAGAGGCTCCTATAACAGTAAACATTTTTTAGCAAGAGTTTTTAAAAGGATTCAGCCCCTCTGGATTCAGGATATACGGCAATCTCTATTTCTTGAGGGAATTTTTTATTCTCATGGAGAGATTATTTCACAACTGGCTACAGCAGTTTCTTCCTCTGAAGTGTCTGGCACTAGCCACTGTCCATGACAACATATCAGATCACTGCTCCGATACAGTTTGTCAATTCCTGTCTTCCTGTATTAATGCAACAGAAAGGAGAAGAAGCACTTTTCCAGAGAAAGGAAACCAACATGAATTTTCCAGAAGAGGAAAGAAACCGAGGATGATGCAGGAATAAGTGAGGCAAGTCAGAATACATAAAGTTTAAAACAAATGAAAAAAAAAATTCCTGGGATTCAACAGGATCAATTCAGCAAGGATTCAGAAGGAAGGCAGCAAGACCATGGGAACAACTGGCTAACAGAAATACGAACTAAGAGAGAAGGAAACCAAAGACCAGAGAAAAGCTATTTTAACTTGTATATAACTTACTGAAGATTCAGAAGCCCACTGATCTGTCAAGCTGACTAAAGAAGTAGTGAGAACATTGGGAATGGAAGGTGGCTTCAGTTAAGGGTTGAAAGGGAGATTTCGTGGACCATGTAGAATATGTATTGAAAGAACATGTCTTGGTCAATGCAAGACATGGTCCATAATATAGCTGTGTCACCCAAGAAGTAACCCTGCAAAGGACATGTGCCTCCCAGGCTCCTCCCTGCTCTAATGGTGGGGCTGTCTTGCAGTAGCCTTGCAGGGTCTGATTACTCTTCACATCTGCTCCACTTCCTGGTGCGTTGAGGGAAGATGGCAGAACTCACACTTCAGAGTCCTGCTCAAGTGAGGGGGATGCATCAGCTTTGGGGAGCCAGCTGTAACCCTCTTCTACACACAAAGCAGAGATCAAGGTAGGGTGTGTTGGGGATGGGACTTATTCCCCTGTACATAAAGTGTTCATAAAGGCCAATATTTTTCTTCCCTTCAGAAACTCAAAGCTATTTGTGGAAGGGAACTAATTATAACAAATTATTACTTGTGACTGGAAGCAGGGACTGATGGGGAATGAGCTTTAGTAGGCAATGGTTGATCCTCTGGATTATGGTATACACATAAGAGATCAACTCAGGTGCCTAATTAATCCATTTTTACAGAGTCCTGTTTTAAAGGGTCACAATATCAACCTCAGGACAGATTTGGGGCCCTTTTGTGTCATTAAGTTCGGCACCAGAGTCTTTTAATTAAATGACATGCATTTTTCCTAGTACGTTTCCCATTAGAAGCTGCATATGCTCACGTTAAGGTGCCTTTTCCTTTGGTGACAATGTTTAAATTCTAAGCTTGTTTAAATAGCAGTTGCTTGTATGCTGCTTCCCCCTCACCTCCCTCCCTTCGGTTTCCTCCTGTTGTTCTTTTTCAGATCACTTGGCCTTCTTTCCTGTTTATTATCCGGACATACTGTGCAGCGTATGTGCTGAGGTGACTGTCACATAAAAGATCTCTTGCTGGGATCATCAGAGCGCTCCTATTTTTTTAAATGTATTTTTTAAATTGATCCTGGAATAAGAAAATGAGCTTAATGATTAGGACAAAATCAGAATGGTTTACAGCCTGCTTATAATAATAATACTAAAGTTTAACTTTTCTTCAAAAAAACAGTAACTCAATTAAAGCTGTATTCAGTAAATGAAACACTCTTTTATTAACATAACAGGAAAGGTACAACAGCAAACAATTATTTTCTTGTCCTAGGCTGGCACATACATATACCACCACTGCATCTTGAATTTCCTGAGAGTTTCTTTTTAAGTAGTTGCAAGGGAAAACTTATCTTTTTTCTCTGGTTCATAAAAATGAATCACTTATTAAAGTTTCTCTTTGAGCCAAACAGTGGAACAAAACAATGCTTGTTGTGTGAACTGCCAAAGCACAAAGGATGCATAGGGTTTTTTTTTTAGAGCAGGAAGTTTTGTTATTGGAAACTACTACAATGTGCCCTGTCCTTGCACTACATAACCCTGTCTGGTCCTGAAAGCAGTGTCTTTTTACTTGCCTCATCAAAGTGGCACAGGCAACCTTCCACTGCACTCTGTGGGCTTTGTTCAGCCCTGGGTGTCCTCACACTTAATCTCCATCCGGACTGAACTGGGATGCACAGTAAACAAACTTCAAGAGTCTGGTGGTTCAATGATTGCTGTGTTTGCACAGGTCAGGGCCCACTGCTAGAATGCTGATTGTGTGAATTACCTTGTTTTCCATGGACTGTTTGAAATTGGTGCGCTCTGTTATAAACAGTCTTGATGAGTTTTCAGGTGCAAAAATGTTTTTTCCAAGCTCTCCTTTATGTATTCATAGGTCTATGCTTTTTCCCTGTAACTTAGTTATATGTTTAGCAAATGTTTATTAAATCACTTGTGGAAGTTAATTGGTCATACTTAAATTTTGTCTGGTTTATATTGCCTGAAGTGCTTGGAGAGGCATGGTTAGTGTACTGATCCTATGTTCTAGCCCAAGCATCAAAATGGTTAATTTTAATGTAATCTGTCTCCTGAGTACATGGTTAGGATTTGTGTTTAAAAAATAGTCTCTTTTCCTTTCTTTATACACGAGAAGAAATCTATTTAGTGTCTTTTACAAAAATAAAACACTAACATAGGCTTTCAGCTTGGTCAGACTCTTTTCCAGGCTTTTTCCTTATATGGCATTCAGTAAAGTCAAATAATTATTTTTTCTTTGAAAAAAATTACTAGCTTTAGTAGCAAATACTATATGATAATAACTTTTTTTATTCCAGGTGGTTTTCTTCCCTATAAATATGTAATGTTTCTATTTGCTATTTATCAGTATTTTAAAATGGTTTTAAGAATCAGTTATGTACTCTGACTTCATGTAATAACTTAATTCTTTTTCTGTTTCCTCTTCTTAGGACTGAAGCACTGAAAATGGAAGCCACTCAGATCAATATGTCAAGTGCTCCACTCATTAATGGTGGCATCAATGCTCAGCTCAAGACACACAGACCTCGTGTGATGTCCAAAAGTGGCCATAGCAATGTGAGGATTGACAAAGTGGATGGTATATACCTGCTTTACCTTCAAGATTTGTGGACCACAGTTATAGACATGAAGTGGAGATACAAGCTTACCTTGTTTGCTGCTACTTTTGTGATGACCTGGTTCCTCTTTGGAGTTATCTATTATGCTATTGCATTTCTCCATGGAGATTTAGAAAGGAATCCATTCTCTGATAAGCATGTACCCTGTGTTGAGAAAGTAAACTCACTAACTGGAGCATTTCTCTTTTCTTTGGAGTCACAGACAACCATTGGTTATGGCTTCCGTTTCATCACAGAAGAGTGTCCTCATGCCATTTTCCTACTAGTTGCCCAACTGGTTATCACAACTTTGATTGAGATCTTCATCACTGGTACTTTCCTGGCCAAAATTGCAAGACCCAAAAAACGGGCTGAGACTATTAAGTTCAGTCACTGTGCTGTAATTACCAAGCACAATGGAGAACTTTGCCTTGTAATCAGAGTGGCAAACATGCGGAAAAGCCTTCTGATTCAGTGTCAGCTGTCTGGAAAACTTCTTCAAACCTATGAAACCAAAGAAGGGGAGAGGATCCTTCTCAACCAAGACAGTGTCAAATTCCATGTTGACTCCTCTTCAGAAAGTCCTTTTTTGATTTTACCTTTGACCTTTTACCATATATTGGATGAAAATAGCCCTTTAAGAGATCTCACCCCCCAGAACCTAAAAGAAAAGGATTTTGAACTGGTTGTCTTCTTGAATGCCACAGTAGAGTCTACCAGTGCTGTCTGCCAAAGCAGAACTTCTTATATTCCAGAGGAGATCCACTGGGGTTATGAATTTGTACCTGTAATTTCTCTTTCTCCAAATGGAAAATATGTTGCTGATTTTAGTCAGTTTGAGAAAATCAGAAGAACCACAGATTCTACCTTTTATACTATGGACTCTGAAAAACAGAAACTAGAAGAAAAGTACAGACAGGAAGATCAGAGAGAGAGAGAACTGAGAACAATATTATTACAGCAAAGCAATGTTTGATTGTATGTGCAAAATTGAACATTAGTAACTTTTATCTACAAACTGAAACCAAAGCATATTCTCTATGCTGTATACCTGTTACGAAGGCAGAGTGGAGACCTTTCAGCAAACAGCTTTGGCCTGGAGTATCTATCCCTTTGTCAAGTTGGGGTGTTAAGTATTTTTAATTAGATGGGATTTCTTTGCTTATATTATTAACCTAATACAATAGGGTTTATGTTATGATTTTGCCATCTCCCAATTGTTAGAGCAAACATGCTACTTACCATTTGGTAAGTGTAGTTTGATACATTAGGCAGATTTCTTCAAATATTTATTTGTCAGGGTTTAATTATAAATATGTGATCTCAGACACAGCATACAGTTCTTTTTCAAATAGATATGCTCCTTTAATAAGTGTATTCTCATACCAGATATATATTTGCATGGGCTTCCTGGGATTGAAAATATACCAGTATGAAAAAATGGTTCAGTTAATGAGGAAAGATTCTTCACCTGGTAAAGGCCATCTTGAATGAAAGGCAATGACTTGCATACTAATAGTTTTGCTGGGTTGTGGTAAATGGTGCTCTCTGTTGCACAAGGGGCCTTTTGTTCCTTAAATACTAATTTTTTATCATGTTACTGGTTTATATTTAGTAGCTAAAGAGGAAGTGAAAGGCAGGTAACAAAAAATCAAAATGGTAATTCACAAAGGTTAAAACTGACTTTGATAGACCTATTGCTATTATAAAGTGTAAATAATTTATAACAGTAGCATAACAATACATTTCTACAGATTACTTGCTTTGCTATAGGTTGTAATGAGTCTTGGTTAAAAGAAATCTGAATGACTTCTGTAGACAATATTGACATTTTTTACATCTTTCTACCTTGATGGACATGCATTCCTTTGATCCATTTCCATTAAACCAGGTCCATTAGACCATTCCATTAATGAAGGGATTTCATCTGAGTGATTACTGATTTCTTTGTGGCACCGCAAGATGCTGTAGTACTGTACTTAGATTCTGAAACAACAAAATACTTAGTATATTCAGTTATATAACAAAAACCATAGAATACAGTTGATTTCTTCAAATGATCATATAGTGGGGAGTAAACCCCATTCAAGAGGAAAACCAGCACGTGAAGCAGTGTTGGGTTCGTAACATACTTGCTGTATGTAGAACAGCTGTCACATAGAACTTAAGGCAAAGGTGCATGAACAAATTATTATGAAGTAAGTGAGGATGGGGGTTTTCCTTGGATCAGCTACTGTACTTTACCTGCCAGTGTGCACATCTGACCCTGTGGAAGCTAACTGACAGCACCTTAGTCTATTCATGAAAAAAGAAAACTAGGAAACTTAACCAGTAATGCTTAAAGATCCAGGGCTTTAGGATTAGGCAATGACTCCCGGATTAGGTAATAACTGAGCAGTAGTTTTGAGGATCTAAATTTTGGACTTAGATGGCTAAAGTGGCAGTTAGATGTCCAAATCTTTTTGTCCATCTGCTTTTCCATGCATACCATCAGGGTAAATTGCCCTGAAGCACTGTCTATTCCATTCCACTCTCAGGGCCTATTCATTAGATCACACTGAAGAAGCTTGTCATCCAAGGTAAATACCATTCACGTTCAAAGAAAGCATTATAAAGTTGAATGTTCCAAAACTGCCAGCAAAAAGAGCCTTTGATTTTAAACAAGCCAACAACACAAGGTAAACATGGTAAAGCTCTGGCAAATGAAGCCAGTTTACATTAGGCAACAATATGTTGAACAATAAGATATGATACAGGCTTTTATTTTAGGTTGGAAACAAATTCCCATCTTGTAATGATCTATATATTTTCCTTTCTGCCTTCATGCAAGTGTTTAACTCTCACTGATATTATTATAAGTTCAGTGTACATCTGGAATGGAAAATAGGTCTCTCTGCAATATATTAGTGGTATAGAACTAAACGCAATAGGTTATTTAAACAAAATGACATGTTAAACTGCTAACTGCTGGGTTTTAGACCAGAGATTTATGATTAGAACCTTATCTGGTACAACATAGTGTAGCTCTACTGCTATGCTGATTTATTCCAGTTGAGGATTGGGACTCGAAGATTTGGCATCATGGAAAAGTAGAAAGGAAAACCATCACTGACATATCTAGACCAAACATCCATCCTGTGAGGGGAAAAAAGATTTATGCACGTATGATTTATGGAATGAGTTGAGCACTTTTCATTTTTGCAGGCTGATTTTTCTTGTTTTCTTCAGTTCACTGGGAGTTGGGAAACCCAAAGTGATGGGCATGCCTAGTTAAAATCCTTGGATGTCTTTACATATGCTCTGGGGTGGTTGGAGGGAGAGGGTGGGGGGTGTTAATTAGAGCAGCTTTCAGGAGCTGCTTTAATTAAAATGCCTACAGTGTCCTGTCTATTCGGCTTCAAAATGATGGTGGTGGCACTTAAGCTTGTTTGATGAGATTTAGTTAAAGAACCTCTGCCACCATTTTGAAATGCAGGGATGTTGAATACACATGATGCTGAGGCTTCTCGATCTGTTTCAATTAATCAGTCCCAATTAATTGAGTCTGCTCCAATGTGCTTTAATTAGAATGTGTTGGAGCACATGTCTGGCACGTGTATATGTGCCCCTTGTTTAAAAATGGCCTATAATCTATATTAATATATCAAGATTGGTAACTACTAGACTTCTTATAGACTTTCTGGTGCTAATCCCTACACTGAGAAAGATGCTAGTTCACTTTACCATGATCCAAACTAGAGCTGGGCCAACTCCAAAGAATAGGATCATAGGCCTGGAAAGGACCTCATCAGATCATCTAGTTCAGCCCCCTGCTCAGGGCAGGGTCATCTCTGATTCAACCATTCCAGACAGGTGTCTTTCTAATCTGCTCTTGACAATGTCCAGGGGCGAGGATTCCACACTTTCTCTAGGTTGCCTGTTCCAAGGCTTAACCACCCTCATAGTCAGAAAGTTGTTTCTAATCTCCAATCCAATTTGGAGGCCATTGATTGTAGTTCTGTCCCTTATAGCTGCAGAGAATAGTTTGTCTCCATCCTCTTTAGGTGTCTGATGACTGTTATCAAATCCCTCCCAGCCTCTCTTCATCAAACTAAATAATCCTAGTTCTTTCAGCCTTTCCTCATAAATTGTTTTTGGGTCTCTAATATTTTTTGTCACCCTCCACTGGATTCCTTCTAATCTGTCCATTTCATTCTTGAACTATGGGACCCAAAACTAGACACAGTACTCCAGGTGAGACCTCATTGGTGCTGAAGAAAGAAGAATCACTTCCTTTCATTTGCAAGTGACACACCTGTTTGTACAACCTATTATGCTGTTGGATTTTTTTTTTTTGCAACAAGAGCACACTGTTGTCTCATTTTCAGTTTATGATCCACTGTAACTCCCCGGTCCTTCTCTGCAGTACTGCAACCTAGTCAATCATTCCCCGGCCTATGTAGGTGCATACAATTATTCTCTCCCAAGTGCAGGGCTTTGCACTTGTCCTTGTAGAATTTCATTGGCTTGATTTTGGGCCATTTCTTCAGTTTATCCCGATCATTCTGGATCATAGCCCTACCATCCGAAGTGTCTACAACTCCACCTGACTTAGTTTCATCGTTCAGATCTTTAATTGAAGATGTTGAACAATACTGGACATAGAACAGACCCCCCTCCCCCTCCACTGGATGCCTGACTGATGTATTAGAGATGTGTTTGTTATTCAAAACTGTACAGCACAGAAATATGAATGAGTTCAGCCTTTGGATTATTTATGAACTATTTCCTATGTCTATGTCTTCAGCTCTCCTATGCCAGTTTTTTGTGACAACAGATAACTAAAGTGACATGGAATAGCTTTTGCTGCTCTTTGAAAGAGGAAAGAAGAGCGCCGAGATATTCCAGGATGGCCTGGTACACACTTCAGGCGTCTGCCTACCACCATCAGATCCATTTGTTCAAGTATATCAGATACATTTGTTTAGAGGCCTTTGCAACAACAACAACAGCGAAAATAAATATCTTTAATGACTGCAATGATAAATAAAATGGGTCATGAATGCTGAAGTGAATTCATGATTTTATATTTGAACATTGGCTGCCACTACATTTGTCATTTTAGCCCAGCTCCCATCAGAATGTTCCCTATGACAGACTGACCACAATACAGAATAGTAATGACTATGCATCAGTGTTGTTAGCTCCTCGCTGTACAGCACAGCCGAAGACGGTATTATGCAGATCTTGCATATTAAGTACTAAAACTCTGCTTGACTAAAATGTTAGCATTTACCTGCCCCACTTACATTATTAGTATTTCATGAATAATGGAAGCTTATGCTGGTGAATCCCTTGAACATATTCTGTGAAAATATTAGATTA